ATTCTTCAACACTACTTTGCTCAATTGTGTGAGCCTTCATTCTTGTGTTGTAAACTCAATCTCTTTTGAGTGTTGTTCTTAAGACTTGTGTGACTCAAGTCTTGTTGTTGTAAGAAAGTGAGGCTTGTGTGATTCAAGTTCTCAAGTTGTACCGGTTTTTCAAGCACCCGTTGAAGCTTGAAGATTAGTAGGACTTTCGGGAGAGTCTCTCGGAGGACTGAACTAGCCACAAGGTGGTGAACCAGTATAAATCTCGGTGTTCTTCTTTCCCTTACTCCTTTTATTTATTCCTGCGATTTTATTATTTCACACACGCGAAAAACGCACATTCTTGAAAACAACTCTATTCACCCCCCCTCTAGAGTTGCACACTTGTCTAACAATTGGTATCGGAGCAGGAAGTTCTTCGAATACGTTATTTTTCAGGAACTAAAAGATCAAATGGCATCAAGGATGTTCAACGCAGGAGTGACCGAGGGACAATCAACCACGAGGCCACCTTTGTTCGATGGAACAAACTACTCGTTTTGGAAGGAGAGGATGAGAATCTTTATCCAATCCAATGACTACAAGCTGTGGTTGATTGTGAAGAACGGCTGCGGAGTCCCGATGAAGAAAGTCGGTGAAGTCAACGTTCCCAAAACTGAAGAGGAGTTCACCGACGAAGATTGCAAAAAGATGGAGCTCAACGCTAAGGCAATAAACATGATTTATTGCGGTGTTAATGCGGATGACTACCGCAAAATTTCGCGGTGTGAAACCGCAAAACAAATGTGGGAGAAATTGGAGGTCACCTACAAAGGAACCGCGCAGGTTCGGGAGGCCAAAATTGACCATCTTACTCACAAGTACGAACTCTTCTCAATGAAGGAAAACAAGAAGATTGAGGAAATGTTTGAGAGGTTCTCTAACATCATTAATCCTCTCAATCTTCTCGGGAAGACATTCACCGACCGAGAGCTAGTGAGAAAGGTGCTGCGAAGCCTATCCCCCAAATGGCGTTCAAAGGTGGACGCAATCGAAGAAGGTCGTGACTTCCAAACAACGACCTATGATGCTCTTCGAGGTAATCTTATTACCTACGAAACCACCCAACTCTCAAAGGTGGTTGAAGAGAGGAACAGGAGGTCTATTGCTCTACTCGCAACAACATCAACCCACAACAACGTTGATGATGAAGATGATGACAGCGACGACACCGACCTCGGACTCTTTGTCCGAAAATTCAAGAAGATGATGCTCAAGAAGGGAGCCAAGAAGAACACTCCACCCAAGTGCTATGGGTGTGGTGAAATTGGGCACATCAAACCAATGTGTCCAAAGCTCAAGAACGAGAAGGACAAGAAGGCACTGAAGAAGCAACGTGCCTACATTTCTTGGGAGAACGACGGCTCCGGGAGTGAAGACTCGGAAACGGAGGAAGTGGCCAACTTGTGTCTCATGGCCATTGAGGATGGTGAAACATAAAAAGAGGTAAGTGATCAAGAACCTTCTCCCAATGATCCTTTAACTCTTAATGATGTTGTTTGCATTGTAGAAGATTTAGTAGGAATGTTCAAAAAGGCTTCCAAAGAAAACAATGAAGTTAAACAAAAAATCCTGATTTTTGAGAATGATGTAAAAGAACTCAAAAATATAAATGATAAACTTAAACAAGAAATTATCTCTTTTGGAAAAAGGCCACAAGAACCTTCAACTACTTCTTCTTCTACATGCTCTAGTTGTACTTCATTAAAAGCTAAAGTTGCTAGTTTAAAAGCAAATTGGGAAAGTTTAATAATGCTTCAAACACCCTAGATAAGATACTTAAGCAAAAAGTTAGTAATGGTGAAGGACTTGGATATAAGAAAAACCAACCTAGAAAAACAACATTTGTTAAAGCTAAGGGGAATAAAAATGCTAGGACAAACAATCAAACTAGAAGAGCACATCCTAGCAAACCTAGAACTCATTACACTCAACCATATAGGATGAGTAATCCAAATGTTATTTGCCACTATTGCAATAAGATAGGTCACATTGCACCCGTGTGCTTCACAAAAATTAGGCATTTCCAACAAACGCACACACATCACTCATATGCTAACCAAAAAGGACCCAACAATACATGGGTACCTAAACCGTCTCCTTGATATCTTTTTGTAGGTGTGCTTGAAGGCTTCGAGTACCTCTTGGTATCTCGATAGCGGATGCTCCAAGCACATGACCGGAGACGCATCCAAATTTAGGAGTTTAGAGTATTTCAAAGGTGGCAATGTCATTTTTGGTGACAACA